AGAAAAAAGAAAGAAAGAAAAAAAGAAAGAAAGAAAGAAAGAAAGAAAGAAAGAGAAAGAGGACATACAACTATGGAGAAATTGTGTTAAATTGGTTAGAAGTTAGCCAGAGTATCACACCCAAAGCAGAAAATATGAAGAAAGGAAAGTTTTGACAATATAAAAATATAGTGTCTGTAATTTGCCAAAATTTACAAGTAACTAAATAGCAAATAAAAGAAAATATTTAAAACCTATTTAATAGGAAAGTTTTAATTTATATACTTCATACAGAAAGATAGTTGATTTTATTAATAGAATAAAACACTAATAAAAACACAAGGAGTCTCTTAATTAAAATATGACTATAAATAAAATACTCCTCAGAAACTTTATATGTATATGTGTCCTTTTTTTATAGTCTTCTCACTGAATTTTTTACAAGGTATTTGATTTTAATATATCTACAGTGTTAAAGTAGGTACTTGCATCTTTGCTTCTGATTTTGATTTCTGTGTCCTAAGGATCTTAAACTGCAGCAAAATGACTAATGGGTACCTTTTGCAAAACATATAAAATGAAAAGATGTACAATCATTTCCTCCTCTAGGTACCTGTGCACACTGATGACAGGAGATGAAGAGAAACGCAGTAACACGTTTTGCTTCAGTTAACACCTGGTTATTTTTCAATGTGCAGATATTTAGGGAAGATTAATAATATAGCTGTAAGAACTTTAATGAATATCCTTTCTTGAATATTTTGAGAATTTCTGTTCTCCTTGGGGAAAGGACTATTTATGGAGATGAATTCAATACTTAAAACAATTAGCGATATAATAATATTAAAAAGGGGGGTAGGAGTAAAGTAGATAGGTAAAGTAATGAGTATACAGTCAGGGTAGAAGAATTGAACCAAAAGACAGGATCATCCCGAAACTCAGCGGAACAGGATTTCCCACTGTTAAATAATGCTCCAAGATAACCCCAGGACATTGCAGATGGTTCAGAGTTTGGATTAAGTTTGTCTTTGCACAGCATGCACTTCTCTTAACAGAGGCTTTAATATATGCAGACAATTTGAAGCCTCAACATTAAGATGCTTAGATGCTTTTCACTTATTTCTGAAATCACAAAATTCAGAATAGGATTATAAAAATGAGAGAGAAACAGAAACAAAAATTATTTAGAAAATAAACTTTAACACTGAAATCATGGTTTATTTAATTAAACTCACTATTTTAATCGGTTTCAAATCTAGCATGTCAGAATTCAGTTAGGTACACTATACAATGTGTATAACTCCCTAAGAATATCAAGCCTCTCTGCTTATAACATGATATGCACATTACTAGTTTCAAAATAACAGGCAAAGATTGCTGCAAAAGAAGTGTAGATGAGAGGAGAGGAATAATGTAAGTTCTTGGTATGGAATTTACACAGTGACTAATCTGAAAATGTGAAATTACATTCATTTGTTTATAGATACCCTAACTCTTATCTCTTAAGAATTGCAATGTTACTCTTCTTGGACTTGAATTTGTGTATGTTGAACTTCCAGTAATCCTCAGGTTTATCCTATTTCCCAAAGTACTCACTGTAAAATAATATATGACTTTGTGACTAACTCAGGTGTGTGATTTTGGACATATTTTTCCAGTTAGATCACAGCAATAAGTCGGAAGTTAACAAAACATGCCTGTGAATGGTGAACACTATTGTGAGGTAAGGGGTTCTAGTACACTGAATGTGTCTCTCCTTGTATCCAGTGTCTGCATTCTATCTCTCATATCCATCTTCTGCATTTAGTTTTTCCCTGGGAGCTTAGACCACTCACACTATCAACCCATTCTGCCTGACTTTGTGGAAATGTTTCTTATATCTCAATAAAATGTATCTTATCAAGCAGATTTTATGGTATATGTGCTATAATCAGGAAGTAGTTTTCAATGACTTGCTTTACCAAAGATACTCTGTAGTTGTTTCACCTTAATTTAAATTGTTTCTGACATGGAAATAATTGATTTTATTAATGTTTGAACTAGAGATCTATGAAGAAATCATAAGCCTCAAATTTCTACTCAAACATTACTTGAATAACAACTATTCAAGTTATTTTAGCTGACATCTTCAGTATTCATTATAAAGTTTTACATAATGACAGCCATGTTACTTTTAATGGCATATAACACTTTTAAAACTCTTCACCAAAAATGAGTCTTTATAACTTTGCTGCAGTGTCTCTTTTATTGTGACATATTTCATTAATTTTTAAGTCTAATTTATTTTTCCAGTTTTAGCTTGGTTCACATTGCTGTTAACTTTTATGTAACAAAATTTATTTCAACCAATTTCTATGAACTCATTTTTACTAAATCAAGTAACTTGCTTGAGTCATTCATTTGAAAGCTTTTTTTCTATTTAGTGACTATTCTTGGGTCCCCTCTAAACATATAGTTTGCTTTTCTACCTCTATTTAATCTAGTCTGTGCTTTCTTGATAAATCTTAACCTTTGGAGTGAATTTCAAACCAATGGTTTTGTTGGATAACACTGATTCCTGGCTGTTGTACTCGAATTCAAATGTTACAAATCAGTTCCTTATAATGTTTTGTCCAAATGTTCCATTCAATCATGTACCTATTTTGCTTTAATATGTTTCAAAATTTCAGAGTGTATTGTGCTCCAAGAACTATGCTGGGCACAGGACCAACATTTGTTAAAACAGCAGATACACTCATCTTTCATAGATCTTACATTCTAGAGGTGAAGGAACACCAGGTGAAAGCGCACACATCTTATTTAGAAAATATGAGGAATTTTATAAAGGAAAAAAGTAATAGTAAAGAAAAACATGGAAGAGGAGGTTCAGAAGCTATAGGATCATCAAAGATGCTTAACTGAGCTGAAGAAACTAACAAGGTAAAAGCCTGACAGGAACAGAAAATCATAATTGCAGATGGATAAGATGAGTGAGTGAGCATTTGATAAACATCAGTAGCCGAAATAAACTTCTGAGTATGAATAGCTACAAGAAGCTGGTGCTCATGTGGTATACATGGGTCCCGATCTAGAAAATCAGGTCCCTTAATGACTTTCTGAAACAATGGAGATGTCTAGACTCGGGGGTGCGGTAAAAAGCACTCAGTTAATGTCTAAAGAAACTGTGTTCTTGTTGCTTCAAAAAAATAAATATTTCAGTAAATCTGTCTATCTCATGTGGTTCCTTTGATAATGCAAATATCTTCTGAGAAATACTAGAATTTAATATATTGTCAGAATTTGAAAAGACTTTGTACCTTATTATCTACTCCAATATCTTTATGTTCCATTATGAGACCATCTTTTTTTAAGGATGTTAAATTTGAAAATTTGAACTCAGCTTTCTATTGCTTCATAAGACACATTCATATTTCTTTGTTTTGCTTTGTTTTTTCTCTTGTTTTAAAGATAATAAAAACCAACAAAACAAAACAGAATAAATCCAATCAAAAGAAAGCAGTGAAATTGGTACAGAAATTCAAAGCAGGATAATAGGAAAGCAATAAAGGCTACCATCTTGTTATTTTCTCAATAGTGGTCTATTCCATCAGATACAGCAAAATCAAACTAAAACAAAACCGGATAAAACCAATCAAAACAGAACACTGAATAAGGCAAAACAAGTAATTGGAACAAAACAAAACAGTGAAACAATATTGAATTTCAAAAACAAGATAGAAGCAAATACCCCATTATTTGCTTATTGCATACTGTTATCTTCCCTATACTGGCCCCAGCCCAGCAAAATCAACGAAACAACATAAGTATTGGGTTACGTTTTGTACCTCAGTTGTTATCAACTCAGCCTGTCCTTCAAACCAGCCAATTGCTTACAGGGAGTTGGTGATTCTCAACCCACACAGTGGTAGTCTCAAGGGAGGCACTGTCTGACTTTTCTCATCCTGGGTCCTCCATGGCTTGCACGGCTTACCAGAAAGGCTGGCTAGTTGGCTTGTTAGTTGGCTCCTCCAAGACACATTCATGTTTGAGTATCGTCTTGAACACTGTGTCCATAGAAAGCGTATTAGTGCATAATTCAATGTAACTTCTAAAGAATTGAAGCTGTACATTCCCTCTCTGTTGAGTGTCTCTTTCTAAACATATGGGAGCAAGGCAAGGAATTATGGACCTGAGTTGAGCTAAAGGCTAGGGGAACAAAATTCTTGCAGAATGAGCATAGATGCTGTATTAGGCTTCAGGAAAAAGCTCGGGAGCCAAGAAAAAGCCACAGGGTGGAGAACCTCTGCAGGATTGCCAGTCCATACTCCTGGAGCAGCTTTTCCACTGTTAGGGAAGGAACTGTTATCAGCACTGATATAAAATAGTGGTTGAACAGACTGGCACAAGATATAATTGGCCCTTAGATAATTCTTACTGTTCCTGGAGAGCCACGTATAAGGTTTTTTTTTTTTTTTTTAAATGATTCCTAAAGGTTTAAATCTAAATATTGAGATCACACCAAAAAGAATGTACAGTGTACTACATGCATCTCATACTTCTACTTTATGTATGTGTGTCATTCATCTTTTTATTTGTATATTACAGGGTTTGGATTTTACTTTTTCTTTCTTTTATTGTAATTTACCTCTAATTACACTCACACCGATAGTACAGAGAAAAAAGTGATTTGCAAAGCTGATCTAGTCAACTAATGGCTAAGGGGAGACTTCCACTTATCCTTCCAAAATGGGTAGTTAACATTTTAATCACTGACTTACGATTGAGTAGGAAATAAAAATCTAGGAGAAGATATCTGTAGACCATAGCTGGGCAAAAAGTACTGAAGCAGGGCTCACAAGTTGTCAAGCCAAAACATAATGATTCACATAGAAACCAGGAAGCTTTTGGCACCATAGAAAATCTCTGATCACTGGAAGTTTTTCCTGAGTATTGCCTGATCATGATACTGTCATTTCCAATCATGATTTTTGCTAATTATTTTTGCTTGCTCTTTCTTCATGTTCTCATTATTCTAAGGAAATGTATTGATTTTTTACATTTTTATCTATATACACACGTGAATTTACACACATAAACTTATATATAAAGTCTAGAAGATAATAGTGGTGGACATGAATTTTAGTGCTTCCGTAATCCTCATATGAAAACATAAAAATACTTGATAACAAAACCAAAAACCCAATAACAGCTTTAGAATAAAGAGAAGAAAAAGTATCTATCTTCATGAAGCTCAACATGGAAATGGGTAGGAAGACTCCATCAACATCCACAATATTTGTGTGCTGGCAGAACTTCTGCAAGAGAAAGTTAGTAAGAAACAACTCGTTACTGGAGAAGAGAAGAATTATATAAACAGCCAATAGGTATTTTCCCAGAAGGACAGAGGTCTGTGAGGATCAGCTGGGCTGGAGACCAACACATTCAGGGCTAGAGCAAGGCCATCCTCAAGGACACAGAGTGCCAGAGGTAAGCCATTTGAACAAATTGAGACTAGGGTAAATCCAGTCCAGCAGGAGCCTGGCTTTGGTGTTTTTTTGTTTTGTTTTTTTAACTGCAGCACTGACAGCTCCAAAAATGTTTCACTTTCAGTGTTCTCAGCATACCACTGAGACCTTGTACCTTGGATCTTCTTGTATGCCTCACCTTTTCTTTATTGTGTAATAAAGACACAAACCATCCTGGGTTGTCACTGCCTCTCCATCGGAGAGGTCAGGTCGCACCAGGTCCCAGCTTTTTTTCTGTTGTCTTGTTTTATTCTCAGTCTTGCATCACCCTCTCTCAGGACCTCACTGGCTGCACAGATCATGGAAGTGTGAGGTTTGGGAGAGCAGCTGGAATGGTGAGGGCTTCCCTCTGCTCTAGCAACAGAAGAACACAGACCTGATGGTGAATTGCAAGGAACTTAAAGAGTCTAGTTCTGTGAACTCTGAAAACAGTTCTCTCCCATAGTGTACTCTACACGGGGGAAAACTGATGAGAGTGAAATCTCAGAAAGCTAGGATGAAAGAATGAGAGAGACAATAGAAAGATCTCAATAAAACTGACAGGGAAGCCAGAGATAAAAAATGTCCGATACATTTAAGGAACTAAGCCATCACCTGTAGAGAACTGTGCTCACTTTCATCTTATATCTGATGTCACAAACAACTTAAGGCATATCAAAAACAGCTTTTAAACTGAGGGTTTTCACGGCCCACACAGGTTGCACTAACCTCATGCCACAGAAGTTCATGTCTCCAACCAGCCCCTGCTCTGTACTAACTCTCTCCCTGGCGATGGCGGTGGGTTGATTTAACCTAATACAGTTTCCATGGCAGTTGTAATTTGGAGCTTTCTGCTTTACCAGGATATTTATGACTTGACCACTCTACTTTTTAGGGTTTGGATTCTTCCTTTTAGACTGAAACATGTGTGTCCAGTTAGTCTAGGCCCTGAGCCATGAAGAATTAATGGAGGGCCTTAGATTAAAAAGCAAACTAGATCTGCCTAACCACTATGTAATCATCCCTTTTCTCTTTTCTCTCTCTTTTCTTTCTTTCTTTCTTTCTTTCTCTTTCTTTTTTTCTTTCATTCTCTTTCTCTTTCTTTTTTTTCTTTCATTCTCTTTCTCTTTCTTTCTTTCCTTCTTTTTCTTTTGCCTCTAATCATTTCTGCTAGTAGACTTCTTTAGATAAAATTTACTATATTTTACCTAATATTTTAGGTATTCTGCAATAAGATATATTTTTCTGAATATTTATTCTGATAAGTAGGTCAAACAAGTGTTTATTTATTAGCTATTATGCATACAGTCTCAGGCTTTCAATGTATGTCTGTTAAGTAAATATCTCAGTTAAGATTCATCTGATTATTCTCAAGCCTGCTCCACAAGCCATCTCATCTTCTCAGTAAATGACAACTCTAAACTTTCTATTGCTTGGGCAAAAACTTCATAACAATTCTTAGCCCCTTTCTTTCTCTCCCATTTTTCATTGCATGTATCAGAAGAGTTTTTATCTATGGCCTTTACACATACCTAGAATTATATTCCTTGCCCTCAACTATTAGCACCACAATTCTACTCAGCATTAACTCTCACTTTGTCTGTTGTAATAAGCAATAAGCTACTTTGAATTGTTTCCATCCTAGAGTCTCTTCTCAGTTCTTCCAGAGTAACACAGTTGAATCATTGTTCACTATGTCACACTTCTGCTCAGAAACCCCAGTGGCTTATGTCATGCACATTGAAACTTAAACCCTTATGCAAGACTGTATTTAGAACCCACCTACCCTCAACACTCACTCTTCCTTGTTTTCTCTGACCCAAACACCAAGACCTTCTTCCTATTCTTCAAACACAATAGGTCTAGTTGTTTTGTCCATCTGTGATGCATTTCTTCCAGATATCTACACAGCTATTTTCTTACTTCTTTAAATTTTCCCTGGAAAGTCAACTTCTCTGTGACATCTATGGTGTCCATTCTGCTTAAATTAATTCCTTACTCTAGAAGATAAACACTAATTTCCATGATTTATTTGATGGACTACCGAATATCTTCTATATAATACATAATGGATTTGTTTCTTATTTTCTGTCTCTGTTGGAAGGTGAGCTTCATAAGATTAGATATAGTCTCCTTTTTGCTTTGTTTTCTGTTGTATCTACAGAACCTACAAGAATTTCAGGCTGCATTGAAGATGTTCTGTCCATATTATATGAATGGGTGAAGGAATGAATGAACGAATGGATGATACTCTAAAGAAAATATAACAAATGGACACATTTCTGCTGTGTAAATTTAAATAGTATTGTGAAAAATCTAAGAAGAATAAGGCATCATTAGATAACAGAAAATGATTGTGACATGGAAATTCACATTGTAAGTACATTTAGAAGCTTCAAACCTATTTTTAACATTTAGTCAATGATTTCTCCCATAAACTATTTTCTCTATGCCACATTGGATTTCTTGAGTAAGAGTGTCACCCTCAAGACATATTGTAGCAGTTGAATCATTGTAGTAGGCAATTTTGGGTAAATGGAGTATTGTTAAATGGGCAATCTCTGAAGTCAGACTTCCTAGATTGGAATTCTGACTTCTGTATTTCTTAGCTATGTGACTTGAGCAAACTAAATTCCAATTCTCAGTTTTCTCAGTTGTAAACATCAAAATTAATGCATCAAGTCTTTTCTATGTTTTCTTTAGCCGCAAGGAACTCTCAGAAGTAAATTGCATTCATTTGGCTAATGCTGAACTTATATAATGACATGTTTGCAGCATTATGCCATGTTGGCATTGTTGCTTTAAATTGGAAATAGATATAATCCCTTTTTTGTTTTGCTTTCTGTTATATCTATGCAAGTTGCAAAAATGCCTGGCTACACTGAAGATGTTTGTATGTATTGAATGAGTGAAAGAACGAATGAATGAGGAAAATATAACAAATGGACAACTTTTTGTTGTGTAAATTTAAGTAGCACTGTGAAAATCTGAAGAGAAAACCACAATAATAGAAAACTCATTTGTACCATTCTTTCTAGGAAAGCTGCTATATTAGTTTTTGCAGGTAGATGTTAAATATCATAGGATGACACTAGTCCACAGACAGAAGACAGGGATATTTAAATGCACATATTCCAAAGTCTAAAGAAAAGTCCACAGGTGAGCAGTTGACATTACTCCCATAATATCTTTGATGGTCGAAACATTAGGTTGTGGAAACATGGTGAAATGCTGCAATGAAAGATGTTACTCAGATTTATATAAGCCCTGGCCAACATATGGATCCTTTGTCAGCATTTACTCTTCGATCTGGCAACCGTGAGGTGAAGCTCCTGCTAGACGGTGGAAAACAGGAATTCCACCTGAATATGCAGTGAGTTCTATTTGGCATTACCTTCTGTCCATTGCCCATGGGACTCAAGGGCAAGCCATGTTCACTGTGAAAGATTCTCATTGAACCGAACATTTCAAGTCATTACATTTGGATTACCTTGAGTAAACCTTAAATTTATTTTCATGTCTGATCAATAAATTTTGTTCTATTTGCAGATACTCAAGACTATCTTAAAGATAACAGGTATTTATCATTATTAGCTTCTTATTTGCTTTCACTACATCCAAATTTCCTTTCTAGGAAGTTCAAATTATTTCAATTAACTGTTATTTAATCCTAGGGGTGCTAAAAGATTCTGACATTTCATGTCATAGAATATTAAAAACAAAAGATTAAAATACATAATCATCTATTCGTCATAATATTCCTTATTTTTGCCTTTTCACTGCCTTGGCTTGGTAGCTATATTTGGATAGATATATTTTACCATTTTTAAACAGCAAATGCAGAGTACCTTTGAGAAGTTCATATAACACTTTGTTCTTTCAGTATTGTTTAACAGGTTCTGAAATAATCTTTCAAATGAACTAAATATTCATACAAGGACACACTGCCTCTCTTGCTCGGCTGTTGGGATTAAGGAGGAGTTATATATCCTTCAGCAGAGTGTTCATAATGTCATTGAATATTATGCAATAAAGAGCTGACCTCATCTCTTTACTGGTATATTATCAGCCTCTTTAAGCTTGTTAGCTTCCAAACCACAATCCAACATTCAAGACTGCTCTTTGCCTATGAGCCATACTTTTTCATCATTCAGCTTTATGTGAAATTATTTTGACACACTAAGACAATTTCAGCTGTAGGGTAGGGAAAGAAGTAAAAAGCTTCAGCAGTTCACATGAGAAAATACAATTTTGAGTTCCTCTGTGTAGTTGTTTATGGCCACTAGAGGGGTCTCTTAATCACCACAGTCTCCTCTCTTACCACCACTTAATCCTCAATATACTAGATTCAGATATTTTTATTCAAGCCACATGGTTATTGTTTGATGCTTCATGGATTGCTGGAAGCACAAGTATCAGTCTACTCTCTTGTTGCTTAAACACCATGACATTTATTAATTTATTTCAAAGAAATATTTTAATATGTGACGCATATACACACATCACACAAAACAGATAATCATATACACCAACAGAGATGAGATACCTAGTCTTTGATGTCGCTAACAGCTATCATGACGTGGCATTACCTGCCCTTAGTTCTCTATTTAAGATAAAGTAGAAGAGATAAAAGTCTAAGCTAATACATGGATCATGAGGGGACATACTGTACCATAGAAGATTCTTTCCCCAGCAGGCACTTTGAAACCTATCCAAACTGGTAGAAACATAAAAGAAAACTGAATCCTTTATAAGACATCTAAGAGTGAGGCCTTAATTCAGACACTGCTGCGGTGTGACAGAGGCCCGATCTATATCTTGGAAGTTGTACTTTCTTAATGCTTTGGTCGGTTTTCTATTCTTAATTATCAGACAGTCATTCCAGCCCCAAATTTGAACTTTTCTGCTTCCAGTCTATACCAGGGTGCTTTTATATCCTAACACAAACAAAATCACTTTGCTTGCTTATTGCTCCAATATAATGTCAAGAAAATTCCTAAATCAGACAATCTAGTCAAGTAGATGTTATATGCTGATTCACCTAGACCAATCTAAGGCCCACTCCTGAAGTAAGGACAAGGGGCAAACCAAAGCACATGAAACATAGGAGGCAGACTTGCAGCATGTGTATTGTGACAGACTATTCCTTATAATGAAACTTCTAAAAGATTCACCATCATTGTAGGCCAGGGTACTTCACTAAGGAAATGTGGGTTATTGGAAAATGAATGAGTACTTTGCCAGAATTTGAATTCACTAACCACTATAGGGTTTTTTTTTCTTTTAGTTTTTAGATTTATAAATTCTGTAGAGTTGGAAAGTTCAGTATTGCCATAGTCCACTTACCCAGTGATCAGTACTGTACATTATTTATTACAGGCAAAAGTGAAGCAATAAAGTGAGCAGAGATATTCAGCACTGGATGTAGTCACAAGAACAAATACAGAGAATGACCGCTGCTGATGACTTGAGGCTTAAAAACAACACATTTGAACCTTGCCTGTGGTGCATGCCTGTAATTCCAGTACTCTGGGAAGCTGAGGCAGGAGGATCACAAGTTTGGGCCCAGTCTGGGAAACTTAGAGACTTAGAACCTGTCTCAAAATAAAATAAATAAATAAAACAGCTGGTAATGTAGCTGAGTGTGATGCCCCTGAGTTAAATATCCAGTACACTCATAAGAGTTACTTATATTTAATGAAACTATTGCCCCGTTTTCTCTTCAGATGGAGAAACAAGGGTCATTTCTATGGTTACAAAGGCATGTTTTGTATGAACCATGCTGGAATTTATTAAGGACCCATATAAAGCTTTTGTCTTTGTGTACTTTATAATATTTTATAATACATTTTGCTGTATGACTAATGCTTTCCTATAAATTTTTGGTATTGAAATATCTGTTAGAGTACAAAATAAATTACAATATTTTTAAAAATTTTAAAACACCAGAATACAATTGCATGTTCTACACTCTGAAACCTAATTCTACCCAGTTTTGACTAGAGTATACGATTCAGGGATTTGCTTGCTCAACAAGCAGGCTTGGGCAATAAGCAGGCTCAGTAATTTTGTTCGTGTTAAGATATAATAGCACCTCTCTATAGATGCTGAAAAGTACAGTAGGTTAGTGGCTGAGGTTTTGTGTTTAAACCTGTCTGAGGAGAATATATTACCCGGAAGATGTATGTTTGTCTAAAAGCCAAAGGCGGCACTCCCTTTCCAATGTATCATTAGACTTCCTGGAAGAACTCTTTTTCCATCTCTCTCTCTCTTTGTCTCTCTCTGTCTCTGTCTCTCTCTGTCTCTCTCTCTCTCTCTGTCTCTCTCTCTCTCTCTCTTTCTTTGTCGTAGGAGATGGGCACAGGAAAGACATTAAGGGTCTATATGTTTTTGTTGTTTTAAGACATGCATAAAGTACAATGAATACTGCCTACAAACAATAGTTTTATGGATTAAAAATGTATTATTTTATTTGTACCATGTATCGTATTGATATTCTTTTAAAATTATTATTATTTTATTATATGTTTGTATTACATAATGTTTACATTCATCTTGGGGACTAGATACAAGTACTTCACATACTTTGATTCTTTTTATTTCTCTCCCCCTCTCCCTTCACCTCCTTCCCTCCCTTTTGGAATAGTTTTCATATTCTAAAGAGTATGTGGCAAAAGGGCTTTAAGTGCTACAGGTGGTTAACTCTTAGGAGCCTCTAATTTCTGAAACATCACCAGGAGCCGCTGGGGGAAACAGCCTCCTACATTTTCTCAGGTTACCTACATAACTGCAGAGTGAGACAATAGTAGGCTTCCATAGGCTGACGGGCATTTCCCAGACCTAATGCTGATTGTTAAGACTGACCCCAACCTTTCCTGTACTCTACTTGGCAGCCTCTGCTTAGTTCTGTACCTGTCTTAACCAAACCTCGCCTTCTTGTGCAACTAAGATTTTTGTGTGTAAACCTGTCAGTCAGAATTTTATTCCTTGGAAATAGCCGTGCTTTCCCACACACCACTCCTTCCTATTGTGTATGTGAGACAGCTTTTTACAATAGCCAGAAAGTTCCCTGCGGTATCCTTACGATGGGAAACAGAAAACATTATTACATACATTTTAATAAACACTGTACGGGAGGAGAGGTACAAATGTTCCCAGAAAAATTTTCTCTTTATTAACTGATGACAACTTGAGAAACCTTGGAAATGACATGATAATTTTATGGTTGAGGCGGGTTATTTTGTTCTGGGAAAAGGAAATGTATGGCTATAATTATTTCATCTCTCCATACAAAGAGAGGGCCAAGTGGAGAAGCCAAAGCACTGCAGGTATTGCTCTGAACTCTCTTTGCCTCATGGGACAGAAAAAAGTCCAGCAATGACTCTGTCTGCCATCTCAGATTATTTCAACCAATCTTTTCTTCTAGTGCAAACCTCTGGCGATGCTGAACCACTGACCATGCTGCCGTGACTATTCTTACTGTCCCCTCTGGCTGGAACGTCCCCTCCACAGCTTCAGTTCAGTCCTGCACGTTGTTAGCCCCTGCTCCTGAGATGACAAATGGCTGGAAGAGTCCTTTCCATTCAGGGCAAATCTCTGATGGGGCCCACAGAGCCCTTGCCCTTACCAAAAAAAATCTTTCCCAACAAGGATTTCAAACTCAATCAATCTTCAGATTTTTTACTATGTTACATACTTACATTTCCAGAGTCCCACTGCTGATGTGTATGCATATTTGTAGGGTGGGATTTTCCTTTTGCTGATTGTAATTCCCACATATACCCATCTGGCAAACTTGACTTCCTGGCATAAATCTTTCTTACTCATCCCTTTTGCTTAGATGTTGCTTTAACCCCCTCCATTTCCAAGTCTCTAATTGTGGAGACAGAAATTATATGAATTCTCTGACATTGTAAACTGTGCCCCTTTAGAAACCGTAGGAATCCATGATATACCAAAGAAAAGAGATTTTCAAGCCACTTTAAAGTTAATTTACATGTTTCCCTAGGAACTCTGTGTGCCTGCATCATTTATCTACTCTAATTCTCCCAGCTATGTGTCTGAAAATAAACCCAAGAAATACTTGAGAGTTAACAAGCCATGCATGCGTTTTAAAATCTTCTCGTTTAAAAAGGAATTTTAAAAGAAAACAAACACAATATCTTGCTTGAAAAAATAGAAGAAAATAAATGAGTTTATCACTTTGCCAAGTTCAATAGTCACTTTTCATATGCTTAAAAATACCTTGATGATTCATTAGTAAATATTTGAGAACAAGTATCTACAAAGGTGACAATATTCCTTCTACAAAAGTGGGTCTTCCAATTTTTTTCTTTTCTTGTGTGTGTATATGTGTGTGTGTGTACATGTATATATGTGTCTTTTTTTTTAGTCATAGAGTGACAGAAAGCATTTATTCATTTGCACACAAAGGCTTTAGACTTTGGATCACATAACTCATACTGATTTTAACAAATGTGCTGGAATATTCCATTATGCATGATTTTACTTAATGTCTACTATATGTCAAGCCCTCAGTTCCAAGGGAATGAAAACAAACTACTTATCAATAGTGGAAAATATGGAAAAATGCAAGGAAATGAAATGTGAATGACACTTGCAATACCATGGGTATTTTGTGTAATATGAAATGTCAAATGTCACTAAATAGGCAGGTGCAAAGTTTACAGGAATACGGGGGAAGGGGACTTAATTTTGTTTGAGAATAGAGAGCTATTCAGAGAGTTATTAACTACACAACAGACATTTGAGAAGCACAGAAAGGGGAAGTAGTCAAATAAAGGCTCAGGGAAGAAGGGTCAGGATGGTGACTGGTTGGTGGGAATGGTATACCGGGTGCACAGGGGCAAACAGATCTGATGTCCCAAACATTGGATAAGGCACAATTTTGAAGTTCCTGGAAAGCAGGCTAAATAGTATGACGTCTTGAAAGCCATCAGGAAATGGTAAGAGAGGAAGCATGCTCTTGGAGGTTTTATTTGTGATTGACATCTGCTGATTGGAAAAATGATGTCTACATTTCCTGGTTTAATCGCAATTTTTTTAGTTGGTATTTTAAGTTCATCAAAACTTGTAGCCTTCATCTTCTTTATTCTATGTATCCACTTGGTTTTCATAAGAGGATCTAGAGAGAAGCTACTTTCTTTGGTCCAGGCAGACAATACCATCTGTGTAACCTATTATAGTATAATTGTATTACCTGAGGAAAAACATTTCCTTGAAAAATACTTAATGGTTGCTTATGTTCCAGAAAAGCAGGTTTCTTAGATCTATTCTTGTGTGCAAGCTTTGACAAAGTGAAAAGGACAGAGAGCCTAGAAACAGGAAATCTTCTGGCTAGAGGAAACATAAATTCTGTTTCCATAGTTCCAGTTAGTCTCCTCTTTAAATGCTACTCGCCTTATCTGATCCTTCCTCCAGAAACTAGGAATTTACAGGGAAAAAAGAGCTCCAGTTGTCCAATCATGAATAGGACACAAAGAGTTGGGATTTTTCACATAGCCCACTGACGTCTGAAGTTGGCAAATAATAAAATGTCATGTCAGGCATTGTGTCTATGCCTTGTCAACAGCTATTCCAAATTCATTTTGTCATTTCGTGTTTGTTGGAATTAAAACACTTAATTTATTAATTCTGTTTCAGGTCTGGGTTTATTAGCTCTTGCTAATGGATAAATGATTGAGACACTGCAATTGCTTTCATCTTATCACATTGGGAGTAAGGATGACGCTATGAGCTAATTTAACACAATGAGCACTTAAATGTGCAGAAAATTACAAGGTGCTGGTACTTTGAAAAAAGTTCATCTCTACCACATATAATACAAATGCTGAACATTTCCCTTTAATTTTATTCCATATTCATTAATATAAACAATTTTATTCAAGTTGGTCTATGCCTAGGTACTAATTTATTTATAATTATTTCAAAAATTTAGACTTTTGCTGAAATGCTTTTTGAGACAGTACTCTACTGCTGCCATTGTGTCTTGAAGCTATTCATAATGGCTATATTTGGTGTTAATGTTACATATGACATAATATGATCTACTGTGTATTTAAAATTCTATTTTAGTATAGTTCCTCATAGTTTCCTGCCTATGGATGAAAATAAAAGTAGTTCAGACACATTGCACTGGACCTGCCAGAGAGGAGAAAACAGAAGTCAACTTGTTAGAAGTCAAGCAAGTGATTACCCTTTGAAGGATGCTTACATATATCTGTTTCATTTTTCGCAAGATGACTGTGAGTATCCTCACTTGCCAATCAAGAGTGGATCTTGGAGAGGTTGGGAAAGTTGTATGTGCATACTGCTTACCACTCCATTTACATCTCTTTGCAAAAATGTCACATCAGAGAAAGAAATAATTTAAGATGTATTTTATAAGAAAGATTAACAAGACTTTATCTTTTATCAGATAGGACAAAGGGTGATAAAGAAACAGTTAAAGTATTGTGAAAGTGTAAGAAACTGCTGAAAGAGGAAAAAATAACTCAGGGAAAAGGAGAAAAGAAAGAAGAAAAACGATATAAATTTGCATATACTTTAAAGATTACTAAGATGATTGTACTACTAATTCTGTTAGTTCTTGGAACAAAACAGTTAATATCCAAAGGATTGGATCAGTAATCTGATAATTTGAATAAGACTTTGAAAGATAACTATGCAAAACAACAAAATTAGTTATATTCCTACCACCTTGCTTTGAAAGCCTCCATTGTTATTGTTTGGGGTCTTTGTTATAGTTATTTATTTAACTCTTGCTTCTTATTTTTCTTACACTTTGTTGTGTTTTGTTTTGTTTTTCCCTCCAATACAGAAAGGAGAGGTGTACATGTATAGGCTTATATATATGTCTAGAACTTCACCTAAAGAGTTTACAAGCACTGATTTTAGTATTGTGATGGTATGAATAGCTACCCTGAAAAAACTGAGACATCATGGTAACTATTGCTGACTTCCTATCATTTTATTTTGAAATCTAATGATGCTTTTATACTTGGTTTTGACTGGTTTTAGTCTGTTTTCAATTATTTGATTTCAGTATGTGTGAAGATATGGACCGTTATTTTCAAGAAAACGAGACATTATAGTAGCCATTATTGATTACCCGTTGTCTGGTTTATAAGACTCATAAGGCTCTCATTCTTTTGTTTTGATTGCTTTTTATACTATTAATTTCTTGTGTGTGAAGTTATAGACAACTATTTCAAAGAAAACAAAATACATTATGGTAGCCACTGTTGATTTCCTGTTATCTTATATTGAAGTCCTGTGTTATTTGCATTGTTTTACTCTGATTTGTTTTTTGTTTTGCTTTGTTTTCTATTCTTTTTCAAATAAAAAAATAAACAGACAAAGTAGACAAAATGTCTTGAATGGTGGAATAATTTAACAAACATTCTAAAATGTTAAGGAAAAAAATTCTTGAATCTGTGAACAACAGAAGAATAGTTAAAACACATGCTAATTTTTTTAAATGAGGAGTGGCAAAATAGACACAAAATTTCATAAGATTCTGAGGACTTTATCATACATTAGTAAGATTTTGATTAAGCATATGCTGCTTACAGAGTGTGCTGGGCTGTAAAGATACACAGAGATGTATACTGCACCCTGAGGAGACACAAGCCTTCCTGTGCACCAGCCATATGCTATTCAGGTATCACTTGATCACCAGAGCAGACAGAACAATGCGTTTGGTGACAACATCTAGGGCTCTTCGCTTTTAACACAGTTGACTGCTTAAGAGAAGCTGGTCCCAGAGCATTTGCCATATGTGTGCTGCTGTATTTAAATGTTTACTATACCAGGAATTTGAATAGCCTTCTAGTGCTGATTCACATTGACCTAGCATTTATTTTATTCAAATGTTGTTTTTCATAACATCTTTTTGTAAGGTATCTTTTTATTTCAGCAAGTCACACTATGACTTTTCTGAGTGTATTTGTGCACATTTACTACCCTCCTTTAGTGGTAGACTCACAAACAGCTAATAAGAGGATAATTAGCTTCCTGTAACAAATCCCAGAATAAACCTTACACTGATATTCTTTGCAAGCTCAGGTGAGCCTTAGAAGTCATGGACGTATCATCACAGCTGTCATTGACTTCTTAATCGACTTTTCAGTGTACTTGGTTATCACTTTAATTTGTTAATTTCCTTCATTGGAAGTTTAAATTTTGATGGGATGGGAGAATATAAATCATATACAGGAAGGAAAGAGGCCAATAAGTTTCATCTGTTTATTCTAATTCAGTCTAATTAAGAAAAGTCATTAAGAAAGAAATGCATTTAAATCCAGATGGTTTCAGTCATTGCTCTTTTTCTCCACCAAGCTGCCCCACAATATGCCTGCCACACAAGCTTTCTCCCTATTTCATGTTCCTTTAAAAATTATGCTGTAATATGAATTGTGGAAGCAGAGCAAAATTAGCTTTTATTGCTTGTATGGTATTTAAATATTAAATTATTCATAGGGGCTTCTCAATGGATATTAAATGTGGAACATAACATCAAATTGGATGGAATATTGTTATTCCCAAGACTCCCCTAAAAATTATTTCATTTGTTAAAACAAGCAAACTGTTTTAAGCTTTTAAGTGCTTTTGATTTTTACAGAGATTCAAAGTATATGGAGACATAGACATTTAAAGAGTGGTGTATGCAAGCGTAGTACACACACCTATAGTCCCAGATGCTCTGGAGGCTGAAGTAGGATGATCACAAGTTGGAGACCACCCTGGGCAAATTAATGAAATGCTGCCTTAAAATGAAGATAAAATAGGGCTTATGATTTCTCCCAGCATTCCTTGAGCTCAATGTCTAGGACCTCTAAACAAACAAGCAAGCAAATGAATAAATAAATAAATGGTGAGTTACTTTAATTCTACAAATGTATAGTTGCACTTTTTATATAACCACTCACTGATCTTTTTTTTTTTGCATGTATATATAGATAGTTTGAAACATTTTACTTCTTAGGAATAATTTTAAATACTTTAATGCTTAGGTTTCTATTATATGAAGTTGTCTCTCAAAGTACTTTAATGTTTAACTGAAATAAAGTGTTCTGTGTACATGATTTCTTTTGTAGCACAGCATAGAGGAGTCGATGGCAATTCTTTTCCATCTATCAATTGCAGCAGTATCAAAATACCATTCTAAAACTCCAATGAATTTTAACAGACATAATCTGCCATAATGTTCAATAGATTTTGGTAAAAGTAAATCATAAAATCTACTGATACATTACTAGCAGTCTACAAGTGTGAAAATTGCTAAAAAGCTTGAAATTCTAGTTCTATTTACAGACCAATAGTACTGTACAGTACACAAAGCACGTGTTTCTATGAATTGTTGGATCTTACTTTCCTTTGTCATTCCTTATAGCTGGATACATAATCTTTTTAATTGTGTTCTCTAGTACTTTATTACTGAGCTCTTTATGAAGTAATTTTCTCTTTCTGTGTATTTTCTTTCTTGTTCATAATTACAGAATTTCATCTAAATCTTAACTATCTAAATTAGTTTACAAATTTCTACTAGTAATACTAATCCTTGTAAAACTACATGGCATTTATGATATAGAGATCTGGGGCATTAGACATTAATATTTGTAAATGGTTACAACATAAATTTTGAAATCATTTCTCTACTTTCCACTTTAATATTTAGGAAACCGTCCAGAAGATAAAATATAGGTCAGAATACAGTATACTGAAACCTGTCTTTCTGTCTCACTTGGAACTTTAAAAGTTCTAGAAAAGTCTGAGTGATGTAAATCATTTAAAAACAGATATATTCCCCCACCTGTGTTTCTTTTCCATCAGAAGTGAATTGATTTTTTCTGATCTGAACATTGAAATCTGGTGAATAAGCAAAGTATTAGTAAAAAGAGCTGACTGTGCATCTCTGTGCAATTTAGATCATTCATGCATGCTGTCGCCAACGTGTTAACTTTTACCAAAAGAGAAATAAAAGAATACTAAAGATTACTTTTAATCCATGGTAGAATTCTCAAATCTTAATCTAGTTGACTGTGCGTACTTATGTTAGTGAAGGTAACCATGTATCCAGACTTGTTCCTGTTGTCCCAGAGTAATTATTTGATAATGAACCTGACAGGTAACAGCATATACATTAATTTTTAGAAAGATATGACATTTTCTGCTTCCAAGGTAATAGTGACAATGTGCTGTTTTCACATTCAAAATGAAGTTGTTGTGTGGATTTCATTTTCATTTTTAGCTACAACCCAATAGCATCAATTTAAAAATTCATTATGGCTAAACACTTCTTTTTATTTAAACCATTTAGTCTCTAGCATCCTCAATAAATTTTTAGTATAACATATTTAATAATAGTAAAAAAGGGAAAAATCAAAATTCCCTATAATCATATTCCCCACTGGGAGTTATTTAACATTGTCCTCTATAGTACTTGTATATATTTATTTTTGAAAAAAAAGTTGGATTTGAGTGTTTATAAGTTTTATATCTTTCTTCTTTCCTTATTCTAATTTCTTTTTGCCCCAAATATGATTTTCAGTATATAACCCTTTGAAGTAGTATACACTGCTGTTTATGTAACCATTCCCTTAGTATTCCACCTTTAGAGTTCTGCCAGTCCTTTCCTGGTACATAACTAACTTTCTCTGCAATTGTTGTGCAAAATATTAGTTAGATTAGGTCTTTGCTTAATTTCCCGGTTTACAAAGTGAGGAGAAGTATGCATTCATTAAGCCATTCATTTCAAGATAAAAATCATACTGTTTCTCCCTTTTGTTTGCTATATAGTTTAATTCACATTTCTGCTACATTTTTATGTGGTTTAATTGATAATATACAGAAAATTGCTTATTAGACTTCTTTACCTTGATACATCATAAATATTTCAATTTCAAATGTCTAAAACTGGCTGGTGTTCCTCTAGACCTCTGGCTCTTTCCTGTCCCCTGGACGTTGCTATGTTTGTGCATCTGATCTCCCTACCTTGGCCCATAAAGTAATCTAGCCCACCATAACTGTCTTAGCTTGTATCTGCCTCCTCTTAAGGGCTTTGCTCTGGTTTTTGTCATCTCTTACTAAGACCATTGCATTAGCTTACCAAATTCTATACAACTAACCTGAAGTGTTTCTTGTTCTCAGAATAAATAAAATGATTTTTTTTCTAGCATAATTCATACAATCAAGTTATTATATTTAGAAACATGAGTAATTTTTGTTACCTAAGAAGTAAAAACTGAAGTGTTTGAAAGGCAACAAAAGAGTCTTTGTAGTACAGTTCCTTCTCCTTCTTCACCTTAATCTCTTACCCTCCTGTTGGATCACTCCAATCTTGCAGTTTTGTGAACATCCCAAGTCTTCCACTGCCTATTTGTGTTGGTTGTTCTCTCAAGAATTTCATTTTTCCACCTCTTACGAATACCCTTTCTATTCTACAGATCTAAATTGAATGATAATGCCTCAAGAAGATACTGGTATTTCTTTTATATTCTTAATATGTTATAAATACATCTAACTAATAAAATATGCATTACCTTACAATAAACTGTTTTGTACTTCTATCTGAATATCAGAAGCCAATACTTTGCAAAATGCATGACACATGTGATTAATAAGTGCTTACTAAAAGGATGGATGGATGGATGGATGGATGGGTGGATGGATGCAGTCTTGGGATGATCTATATAGACTTCAGAAAGTCCTGAGCATTCAGCTGAATTCAACATTCCAAAAAACACCTTTACTAGAGCTAGAAATGTGAAGTTGATTCTTTGGAAGACATACTTCTATTTTTAATGGTATTAGATAAGTGCTCTAAACTGAAATATAATGAAAGATATATAAATCATTTTAAATATTCTAATAATCAGAAAAAGATGAAATTGATCTCAAAAATATTTAACTCAATATGTCCAAAATAATACCATTCCAAATATTATTTGATATTAAAAGGTATTAGCAACTATTTTAATTCGTTTTTGCACTAAATCTATAAACTGCAATGTGAAGATTTTTAACTATTAGAACATTTCAGTTTGGACAAATCACTTTTTAAAATTATACAATCTATATTTTGATTTCATAAAATTTACAGTTGAGAAAGTAAATTTCCATAAGTTGTTATAAATTGTCTTACATGTTTTCTAATACTTAATTGAATATCCACTCAAATTTAAATGAATTAAAGTCTAGTAATAATGTCTTAGTTTCTTTTTCACATCATTAAGCCAAAATACCTGATGCCCAAAGTTAGGGAAGGAAAGGTTTATTTCTTACAGTTTCTGGAGGTTTTAGTCTATACTCAGTTGGCTCCAAGGCAGCATGGCATGGTGGGGCAGCTCTTAATGGTTGGCTGCAAGCAGCAAGGCGCCAACTGGCAAGAGAGAGAAACACACCTTTTTCTAGCTGATACATCATATCCTGGCTCCACCCCTGGGCGGGTGAAACACTCACATTACCAACCCAAGCACTAGACAATGAGCCAATCACAAATGCTACATTGGTCACATCCACAATTGCATGAGGTTTGGGAACCACTGACATACACCATGACAAATACTAAAAGTT